GGGGTCACGTATAACTTCTATGTTTTTTGGGTCACACATAAAGCTTTCCCTATCCATTTTCACTTGGTTTGTTGAATTAATAGAATAAATCCTTTGTGTTATTATAATAAACTTCATACACGGGCAATTAAATCTTCCTTTGTTGGAAACTGACTTCCATGTTACTATGGTTTTCTTAGTTTTCTTATCATTGTTGTCTCATTATGCATTTTCCTTTGATTGCAAGAGGAACTTGTCGATATCAGTAAGCATTGGGATGACTTGGAGGAAGAAGAGGAGGAACATATGGAAGAAGAGGAATTGGAGGCCACTATCCAATCAGATGCCGGGCTCTCTCTCTCTCTCTCTCACTGCTGTATTAATAAATTGAGTTTTTTAAGTTCCCCACAGTACACCAACTGGTGTGAAGGCACCTGACGTCATTGATCTTCGAAAGCAATAAAGGAAAGAGCCAGGGAAGCCTCTTTACCAAGTAAGTACATCGAAAGATTTTGGGCCCTATCTTCCAGTGAGCTACATTATTAGTCATCTTTTGATTATCATTTTATTCTTGTGGAGTCCAACACTCTATTTCTCTTGTTCTAAATAAGGTACTCGAGGAGAAGGAAGAAAGGATTGCACCAGAAACCTTACTCAGAACAACGCACATGTACGTCTACACCTTAACTAGCTGCTTATCTGACTATCATTTTCATGAATTTTAGGACTTCTTTTGTGCAGTTTCTTATTTCTCATTGTGTGAGTTTTTTTTTTTCCTTTTTGAGAGAGGGTTTATCATAGGGAAACTCTTGATTAGCATTTGAGAACTTTTTTCCTTGGACAGGAATGTGCTTGGGGCAATGGATTAAACTGGTCCTAAAAGGGTAAACAGATTTATTCTTTTGTATGTTGGTGTTGCTCTTAAGCACTTAATGATTTGTTGGCTAGATTTATATATGAAATTCTTTCGACCTCTTTTCAATTATCCTCTGCATTTTGTCATACTGATTCTAGATGATCTTTACCCAGGTTGAGCTACTATTAGGACAAAGTGAATTAAAGGCTTTGGATGATGTTACTTTCGCAGCAAAGTAAGGTATTTTTTTTATAATAGGAGGCCAGATTCTTGATGTGTTGTTTGATGCATGCATACAAAGTTTTATACATAGTTATTCATTATTGGGTGACATGGTTCATGTATGAGGAAGCAAGGGAAGAAGAGAAGTCATGAAATCAACGCGAAGAACTTCAGTGACCTGGTGGCAGAGGTTTGTTCCGAGTGCATTCCAGAGTGGGTTTTCACTTTTCTTTTCTTTTTTGTTAATTTTTTGAACTCTGTGTAGGCTAAGAAAAAGAGGAAGCGCAAGATGTAGGAAAAAGGAAGGGAAGGCAAAGAAGGATTTCAAGTTTTAAACACAAAGCTATACATCAAATTCGCATAGCATGAATGCTCCCCCTCGCTCATTGGATATATTCTGTTTGGTGAATATATTGTGAACTATGAAATTCAAAGGATCTGACACATTGAAAGTTCTTATTGACATGTAAAATGTGAAGTTCTTTGGTCAATCTTGGGCCATCTTGGTTCGATTAATGAATGGACAGGGCAGGTAGTTGTACTACTGAGGTAGGAGTGATGTTTAAAAGGAATTTGATTAGTGAATCCATTTTGAGATCATCGATGAATCTTAACTGCGCCTGAACTTGGTGGAAAGTTAGAAGTGGTTTTATTTTCTTTAGGGAAGCCAGGACCTATATAAAGCATGAATTTCTCAAGGTTCACCCGTGTGATGTTCTTGTTTTTATGTTTTGCTTCTTATTTTGTGTCAACGAGCCACAAACACGACCTAAAGGAGCATTATTATCAGCATAAGAAATGTCCATTGTTGGCATGAATTTACTGGGTGCGTGCCATAATTAGCGACCCAAGGAATAATAAAATATCGGCATATCAAAATTTTGGTAATAAATCGGTTTTATTTCAAAAGGTTGGAGGAAAAAATCGGTTAAAAAATATGGATCACCAAAAAAAAAGGTCACTTGTAGAATAGTGCATATTTGGGATTGGTTAAAAAAATGTAGTGAAAAAATCAGATATGTAAAGATCATAGTTGGTAAGTCTCCCATTTAAAACACGATTTTTTCAATAAATCTCCGATTTTTTTGAATCCATTAAAAACTCTTAGTTTTTCAAAAGATCTTCAAAAAATCATTTATTTTTAATAGTGCGGATATAAATTTGCATTTTATCTTCTCTAAAAAAAAACTTAATCCCGGTAACTTTATTTATTTATTAATTTAATATTATTTAAATTTGGTGTAAAGATAAGTAAAGTAACAATGAGTAAATTAAAAATCTTGATTTAACAAAAAATACTTTTTTCATTTTGTACATATTTAAATTAATTTTTTAGTTTTAACAACTTTTATATTAATAATTTTTTAGTACAATTTTTTTAGTACAATTTTAGTACAATTTTTAGTACAATTTTTTAGTACAATTTTTTTAGTACAACTTTTATATTAAAAATTATTAATATAATTTTTTAGTTTAACAACTTTTGTACACATTTAAATAAATTTTTTAGCTTTAACAACTTTTATATTAATAATTTTTTCACAATTTTATCAATTTTCTCGAACTCGGCTCGGCTTTTAACAGCGCTAAAATGAGCTCGGCGCGGCGCGAATTATATCAGCTCGGCTCGGCTAATGTCGGCTCAGCTCGGCTAATATTGGCTCGGCTCGGCTAACATTGGCTCGGCTCGCCTCAGCAAAGTGAAACTTTATTATAAAATTTATAATGAACCTCTAATGGAGTTAAGCTGAGCTGAACCTAAGCTGAGCCGAGCTGATAGCAGCTGAGCCGAGCTGATATCAGCCGAGCCGATATCAGCTGAGTTGAGCCAAATATCAGCCGAGCCGTACCGACCAAGCTAGCCAGTCCTTCCACAACCTCCGTTTTTATTAAAAAAAAAAAAAGGGGAAAAACTTCTTCACCCCGTTTTTCGCTCTGTGTCCGTGTGTGAAGTGGGAGATTAGTTTGAGGATTGGGATTCTGAGAAACTTGTTCACTGCTTTAGGTTTTATGTGTCATGAGAAAATGATGGTGGTTTGTTTCTTGACCACTATGAGAATAAATAAATGGAATGGCGACTGCTTCAATTGCTGAGAGAAAGAGAAGTACATTTGTACCAGTTAGAAGAGAGAAAGATTTGCATTCTTTCAAAGAGAGAGAACATAAGGAGATTGCAGAAAAACACATAGAAGAAGGAACAAGTGGAAAAGGAAAAGATGCGGTAGTTCTCTTCCTAACCGATCATCAATTAAGAGGATAAGGGGTTTGCTTTGCTTTGCCTACATATCTGTGCAAAGTTGAATGTGCATCTGTGTAACTCTGATATGCAAGAGAGAGAGGGAAAATGCTTGGCCAGAAAAGAAAGGAGCAAAAGGGCATATGCTAGCATCCTGACCTCCACCACTTCCTTGGGCTCACTCTTTAATAAAGGTGTATCTGATGCGAGAGGAATTTGAGTTGCTTGACGTCTTGTTTTCATTTCTTTCAAGCTCTTAGTAAAGTTTTTGCTTTTAGATAAATACAACCACAAGAGTTAGAATGAAAGAAATCCATCACAAAATTTCATAAATAGAGCATACAATGCAGTGGACAACAAAAGTAACCCTAGACAAAACCAAACTAAAGTTCGGTAATTTGGATACAATTTATGAAGAAACTGTTGATGCCCCAAGTAGTTCAGTTGGAAATATGCAGTATATCGCATTGCAAATAGAGGGGGCAAACCAGAGATTGCCACTTCCTGTGCATTGGTTCCTGAGTCCTTCGGCAACTGTCAATGCCACTGAGAGTATAGATGTTGCCAGGAGTGGGCATTTCTTTCTGTTGGCTCTTGAAGCTATGTCTGCATTATGCACTGAAAATCCAAGTTCACCAATTTTACATGTTCCTTTGGTTTGGAAATTACATGCACTGGTCATGGTTTTCCTCAAAAGAAAAGACATTCTTAAAGAGAAGCAAACCAGAGATACTCTCAAAACTTTACAGGAAAAGTATGGGCAACGTCTGGACAAACTGAGACAAAGAAGACCTGAAGTCGTTCCTGAAAATGAAAAATCCTCTGGTGTATATAGCAGAGAAATCCTTTACTTCGTAAAAGAGGTCCATGAAAGTTATGGCTCATTTATTGAGATCCCCATTGAGCAATTCAGTGTTGTATCCTATTTGGCCAGCAATTAGGTGTTATCTCCACCGTATAGTAGAAGTGCCTGTCAGACTTGCTGCATAGAAAGCACTATCCAATGCCCATATTTTGGAACTTTTTCCGCCTATAAATGATTGCATTGCTGAGATTGAAGGATATCTGATCCCTTTTGAGGTACTGGATTAGACTTCTGTTTGCTACCATGCCCCGACTTTACTTCATAATGGCATCCTTTGACAAAGCTTTGTCTCTGACTTATGTTATGCACTGTTTTTTAGTGAGAGAAAGAGAAGTACATTTGTAAATAGTTAGAGAGATAAAGGTTTGCATTCTTTCAGTGAGAGAGAGAGAACATAAAGAGATTGTAACAGAAATACAAATAGAAGAAGGAACAAGTGGAAAAGGAAATGGTGCAGTGGTTCTCTCTCTCTCTAACTGATCATCAATCAAGAGGATAAGGGGCATATCTGTGCAAAGTTTGAATGTGCAACGGTGTAACTCTGATAAGGCCACTGTTTAATTTCTAGAGAATCATCGATGCACTTCAATTTTCAGCTTTTCTGCTGCCTGACTTATGTCCTTA